GAAACTACAGCTGAACTTGGACTTCAACACATTAATTAAAAAGTGTAAGATATTACATATGAAGCTAGTATAGCAAAGTATCTCTTTCAATTAAAGAGATTTCCTTTCTTGGTTTGCTAATACGTCAGATACTTATTATAAAGAGGTCAGGCAGTATATTATGCCAAAACTCAACACTTCCTCATTTTACACTTCAATTCAGCAAATTATTTTACCACCTCTTTGAGTAGCTAACAGCACTCATACCTTAATTTCAGCAAATGCTCGCTTCTGTCCATTTAAATGCCTGTAACATTAGCTTATTCATTAAATTAGAACACAAGTTGCATTAAAATGTAGGGCTTTTCAATTAAACATGCACGATACTGCTGCTGGATCTCTCACTGTTTGCCACACCCATCCCTCCCACCTGTGTCTATCCCATCATTGTCACATCTAATGTTAAAGTTGTAAATCCTTGCAGACAAGTACCTGGTTTCCTTATCTCACTTTACAGCACACATACTCCTTGTCTCTTGTTTTGTTTTTGTCCTTCTAAAACGTTCAACTGGTTTTGATTTGAACAAAACTGAACACACGTGAGGAACAGGAATCAGACTTGGCTTCACAGCATCCAAGGGGCATTCTAAGCACTCTAAAAAAATCTAGAACATGTTGAACAGCACTTCCAGCTGCTCAACTTCATCAGTAATCTTTCCCTGATATGAGGCCTGTCTTTATCACTATCTTGTGTTCTTTATCATTTAGCTGCTCATTAAGCTATCTTCCATCTCCAAACAGCTTAGTTTCAGCAGTGAGACATTTTTATGGAAAACTGTTCTGAAATCCAAATACTTTGTATCAATGGAATCATCACCAGTGTCATTTTAGTTTTATAAAAACACACACACACATAAAAGCACATAAACTTTTGCAAACAGGAACAGGATCTCTCAATTCATAGGGTCACAGAGGTGCTGTTATAAGTAGTCAAGAAATCGTCACTATTTCTTTCAATGCCAAGAAATCCTTGCGGCTGATGGACTCACAATTCCATTAATGGGAGTATTGCAGAGCCATGGGCCGGATGAAATAGTGATGATAATCAAGAAGTACAGGCACCAATAGTTAAACACAGAAAAAGATGGCAACTATCTTCACAAATGTGCCTTAATCTAATTGTTTAAGACAACACATTTCGCATCTATGTGGGTAAGAGTTAGAAACTCTACCTGGGGCCCTCTATTAGGAAGGCAGGGAAGCACCTGTAAAAACTCTTCACGTCAGCTTAAACATTCTAAGAAATAGAAATACACCAGCAGGGTTTATAAAAATCAGTGGTCATACAAAGCTTTGAGAAAACAAAAAGTGGTGTATCACTGTGAAGAAGATAAAGCAATTACGTTTTCCCCATTTTATTTAGCATTCTGCAGGGACAGTGCTGGAAAACACTTCCATAATAAAACTAAAGAACACGTTCCATGGATTGCTCTGAAATAGCCCCGGAGCTGTCTGACTTCTGCTCAGCAACAGCACACAGCCTTGAGCCCAAAAACGTGCAATTAGCTCTTTCGCATAGGCAACGCTGGCCAAAAGGACACCAGGTTACATACCCTGTGGTTGGATTCTAAATAGAGCTTCCTTTCTCATGGGCAGTTCACCAAAGCTCCTCAGAACTAAGATAATCTCAACTAGATATTAAAGCCTATACTGTAATCAATTCTTAAAGTGTTCTCAGTTAAGTGTTTTATGTTAATGACTTTCTCATTAGGTAAAGCAGATATCCTGTATTTAACCAAGAGTAAAATAAAGCCAGTACCTTATTAGTAACCCCATATATAACTTTATTTCAGTAGTTTCAAGACTTTCTTTCCATGGGTTATGAATGGCAATCACGTATATACAAGAGAAGATGAGTGGAAAAAATATTAGATCCTCAATTATAGAATTATTTTTGCTTTTTTGACATATTACCAAATCAGACGTCTTTTTAATATTTAGTGATGACAGTGAGACGTGCTCCACCCCAGACTTACCTTCTTTGCACTTTATCCACAATATTAATCACTAAACAAGAATTTTTTATTTTTATTTTTTACAAAAATGTGAGAACACAGAACATGAATTTTAATTTCATTCTATAACATCTTATACTGTAGTTATGACTTTTTTTTCTAAATTCGTGAAGACTGGGATTTACCTGCAACTCCACATAAAACGGATAACGTGCTGAAGTAAAGAGCACACAGCAGTGATAAAACTGTAGCTCGTACAATTTGGCTTTCGGAAGTAGCAAAACTTTTCATAATCAAGCCAGCCACATTTTGCTGCTGTCTAGAAAGCCCTGAAAAACAGCAAAGATTATTTATGAGTGAAGTCTTCTCCTAAGAACAGCAGGCAGCTATGGAGACTCATTCTTCCTCTTTTAGGTGGAGATGAGCTACCTTCCTTACAGCAGCTCCGGGTCAGGAACTCAGAACCGGCCACACACCAGGCCCAACACACCACTTTTATTATAAAAACCCAGACAACCCACGTGCAGTCTCAGAATTTTATTTCTGATTCCTATTTTGCAATTAGGAACACCAACACTTTTGGGGCCTACTTTCCACTTGCAGTAGGTGACTAATAAAGTGCTTAAACTCACCTCAAGAATAATTTACACCCATGCGGGGGGGGGGGGGAAGGGCGGGGCCTCC